CGTGTTATCTCTGTTGCAATTTGTCCACAAAAGATGACTTAAAATGAGGGTTAATTTTGTTTTTCTCAAAGTTTTCATGGGTAATCATTAAGATAGCTTTCAGAGTCTTTGATAATCTGAAACTTTAAAGATTTGCTTGGGTAATAAATGGAATTGAATTGATTGTACATCTAGACCTTTTCCAAATGAGCTAAAATGCTAAAGCATTGATTACTACTGAACATAAATTTGTGGTTTTGGCTTATGGCAGAAAACTAAGGATACTTAAATCTGTTGAAAAACATGTTTTGTGCTTAATAGTTTCATAAGTCTACAGAATTCCAGTATGACAGTTCACTATTGGTTACTACTTAGTTTTCACTGGAAACTAAAGTTTCTAAGAGTTAAAATTCTGCTAAATGTAATTAAGACTGATGGAAATGAGGGAAGCAACTCTGAATGAAAAAGTTGTAAAAGGTTTGTGAAGGGAAATCTTTGGAAAGGAATTTTATATGTAGTCAGAAATAAGATTAAAATGAATAGATTTAATTTTATTTTGTTAAGCAGCCTCCACCCTACATGGAGTTTGAACTCACAACCCTGATATCAAGACCTGAGCGGGAACACCTGGGTGGCTCAGCGGTGGAGTGTCTGCCTCTGGCTCAGGGTGTGATCCTGGGATGAGTTTCTCCCTCTGCCTGTGTCTCTGCCTCTCTCTGTGTCTCTCATGAGTAAATAAATAAAATCTGTAAAAAAAAAAAAAAAAAAAAAAAAAAAAAAACCTGAGCTGAGCCCAAGAGTCAGATGCTCAACAGACAGGGCCACCCAGGTGCCCCAAAATGAATAGATTTTAAAAGTATAAAATTGAAATTCTGAGTTTCTCTCTTCAAGAGACAAGTTTTCTTGAATTGTTGGTCTGCTCTTGAAAAGAAACTGTAAACAGTTTTTTTTTTTTTCTCTTTTGTCTGCCCAGGAAATCAGTTTCTATGGTTTGTCTTTATCAGGTCTTTGGTCACTTAGTTAAAACTTCTCCATGTTAAGGGAGCTGAGTTTGGCGAAAACTATATTTGCCTTTGGAATCTCTTATCACCACTTTGGTTAAATAAATAATTAAGTTTTAAGTTTTGTAATGATCTGTAATCTTATTTGAGTACCTGCTTTATTATAACTGTCTGAGGTACTCTTTAACAAAGTTCCCTGGGATTTCAATTGTCTTTGACTCCTTGGCCTTTTTATTTGGTATGTTAAGTTACTTGAAAAGATCTATCAGTGATAAGCCTCACATTGTATGGCTTGGGTAAATGCTATAACTATTCTAGAGATAGACGTTCCTGAAGTTTTAATATATTCTGGTGTAAGGCCATCACTTGATGTTCTAATTATTAAAGCGTTAGTGTCACAGAAATAACTGGATTTCCTTGTCACTATGTTGTAACTGCTCATCAGATCTTTAATCATGCTCATTTTTGAGTCTTTTGTCATACATAGTTATTGTTCATATTCTCCTCTGAAACGTGTTTCATCTTCAAGGAAATTCATTAAAAAGGCTTTTGACAAATACAGGTTTTGATCTTTAAAACTGGTAAAAAAAAAAAAAAACTTCCAGAACTAACTAAAAACCTGCATTCAAACTGAACAAGAACTAGTAACATGGGACTAAATAAATTGAGGATGATGGGAGTTTTTGTGACCTTTGAAATATTGCCGGTTCTCTAATGTTTGCTCTTTCAGACGAAGGGAACATTCTCTTAAAGTATCTAAAATAGGATAAAAATAGGATAAAAATATTCCTCTGAAAACAAATTTCAGCCATTAATTTTTCTCTCTACCTGAACCCTCTGAAATTCAGAAGAGCTCAGCGAGTGGTCTTTCTTTCACGGCAATTATAGTTATTTGCATAAGTTCGATAAGAATCTGTTCCCCTTGTAACAGGACACCATTGGAAACACTGGTTACTCTACCAAGGCTTTGACTAGAAGTCATATTTGAGAGGATGCATAGGCCCAGGTATGACCAGACAGCTTGAAGGAACAGAGGTTGACTTTACAAACATGGAGCCATAAAGCCCCTTGGAATTGCCGGTCTGATACCTGCTTAGAGAGTTCTCAGAGGCCTCACCATGTGAGTAAAGAATGTCACTTCCTGGGATCCCTGGGTGGCGCAGTGGTTTGGTGCCTGCCTTTGGCCCAGGGCGCGATCCTGGAGACCCGGGATCGAATCCCACGTCAGGCTCCCGGTGCATGGAGCCTGCTTCTCCCTCTGCCTGTGTCTCTGCCTCTCTCTCTCTCTCTCTCTCTCTCTCTCTCTGTGACTATCATAAATAAATAAATAAATAAATAAATAAATAAATAAATAAATAAATAGCAAAACAAAAAAAAAGAATGTCACTTCCTGCCAGGTGCAGGAATCTCAGGATACTTTAGGGACCTCTTGAAGAGGTATTTGCTCAAATCTACAGGCATTGCAGGCATATCTAATGACAAGTGCTTGGCTTGGCTTCTGGTCTAGAGAGGCTACTAAAAGTTCAATCAAGATTCCTTATGAGATGTGGAAGGAGCCACGATGTCCTTCGACAGATGAATGGATAAAGAAGATGTGGTATATATACAGTGGAATATTATTCAGCCATCAGAAAGGATGAATACCCACCATTTGCTTCTACTTGGATGCTGAGTGAAATAAGCCAATCGGAGGAGGACAATCCTCATACGGTTTCACTCATACATGGAATTTAAGAAATAGTGAAAGGGATTACAAGGGAAAGGAGGGTTACAGAGTGGGAAAAATTACAGAGGGAGACAAACCATGAGAGACTCCTAACTCTGGAAAACAAATAAAGGGTTGCAGAAGGGGAGGTGGGGGATAGATAGGGTCGCTGGGTGATGGGCACTGAAGAGGGCACTTGATGGGATGAGCACCGGGTGTTATACTATATGTTGGGATTTATTTTTTATTTTTTATTTTTTTTTTTATTCATGAGAGACACACACAGAGAGAGGCAGAGACACAGGCAGAGGGAGAAGCAGGCTCCCTGCACGGAGCCCGACATGGGACTTGATCCCAGGTCTCCAGGATCATGCCCTGGGCCGAAGGCAGGCGCTAAACCACTGGGCCACCCGGGCTGCCCCGGCAAATTGAATTTAAATGGAAGAGAAAATATTCCTTATGAGATTTCCAGTAAAGCCAATTTTGAAAGATCTATATGGCCAATTGCTGTTCTTGCTGAGCTTATATAATCAAGCCAAGTTTGTTAAAATTGGACTTGTTTTTCAAATGAATCAGTCCTGATTTGGCTGTCTTGGATTTAAAATGAGGGTTATTATCGAGAGAAAATGTTTCAACAACACATCTTTGTAAATATTAGATTTTAAGCACTCAAGACTTGACTATGGGTTTATAATTTGCTCTGACCATTAAACTATATTTTTTCTTTTGTTAACAGAAAGGTGCCTCTTATTAATTACCTGATTGCTTGCTAAACAAACCAGAGCATATGATGGCTAACACCACTTGCTATGCCACTGAAGCCTTAAATGACTCTCAAAATGGCATTAGATATTTTAACTGCACAAGACAGGACATGCATAAAAACAAAATGTTGGGTATATATTCTAGATATCACCAAAAGATTCCAGATATCACCAAAAAGATATCACCAAAAGATATGCCTAAAAGATACAGATATTCAAACAGTGCTCTAAGTCATCTCTCTTCCTCTCTCTTTCCTTCCCTCCCTCCCTCTTTTCTTTAGTGAGTAGTTAAACTCCTGGACTGGAGAAAGATCTTGGTTAATTATTAAAGGTCTTTTTATTCAGGATCCTCTTTCTCATCATAATATTAACCTTATTTTGTTGACTTTTCTGGTGTCCCTCTGCCTGGTGCCAAGACTCCTTCACTGCCATAACTTCCAGCCAACAGATAATCCTTTCTACTCAATAGAGTTCTTATGTGTTGTCTACCTTGGATTGGCAGCCTCTACCTTTTGTATCTTCTATATATAAATTCCCCAACTGACCAATGTTGACCCAAAAATAAGAACACCTCTATGCCCCTATTCAGCAGGAAGAAGGTACAGAAGAGAAGACCTTCTTCCATCCTCAACACCCTTAAAGATTTAAGGGCCATAACCGTTCAGGGGGAATGATGTGGAGAACAAAGCAAAAGGTGAATGGAGATAAAATTAAATTTCTTTCTGACCTATAGCCTATTGACCAATACTTCAGGCAAATAGAGTATAATACTCCTCCAGGAAACTCTCAACTGTCTTAATATTAGCTCTTTTTATAGGGAAATAAACAACCTTCAGCTGACAATACCTAGGCCTCTAGTGTCCTGTGAGTCTTTACCATATGAAACTCATTTTGGAAACTTCTCTTTGTCATTACCGCCCCAAATCAGAAAGTATATTATCAGTTTTCCGCTCACAATCCCAGGGCAGCAGCTCTTGTTCCTGTGCTTTAATAAAAACCCCCTTTCTGCACCAAAAACCTCAAGAACTATTTCTTGGCCATGGGCTCTGAACCGCAAACTTAAAACCACATCATATGGATGGACAGTGTTTGGAGTTTTATTATTTTCGGGGATCTTGTCTGTCTTGTAACCAAGGTGCTTTTTAAGATATTCAAACATCTAACATTGATTAAACTTTTGAAAACATCATTTGCAATGTCTACATCTAATGTCAAAAAAGTAAATGTACTTATTTTTGTTCCATTCTTATGTACTATTTTTTTTCCTTCTACAGGCTTGTTCATTTATATTTCTTGAAAAAGTTCTTACTCTTGCTTTCCCCATCATCCCTCCCCCATTTTCTTTTATTTAAATTTTTGAGAATTTCTGGAGCTGTGTAAGACAACAATTACAGTGTTGAAAAAAAAAGCATAATATGCTTTACAACTTGTACAAACCGATGGCAGCCAAATGTCATTTGCTTTCAGTGAGAGGCTCCAATATCTTCACAGCGAAAAATGCTTTGTAGTTCTTTGCTCTCAATTTGATTGTAGCACGCTAATACTAATATGCCTTGTTTATTTTTTTTAATTTTTATTTATTTATGATAGTCACACAGAGAGAGAGAGGGGCAGAGACACAGGCAGAGGGAGAAGCAGGCTCCATGCACCGAGAGCCCAACGTGGGATTCGATCCCGAGTCTCCAGGATCGCGCCCTGGGCCAAAGGCAGGCGCCAAACCGCTGCGCCACCCAGGGATCCCTAATATGCCTTGTTTAAAAATACTTTGTGCGTAGTTTAATTTTTTAAAAGTTGTATCTAATAAAATGTCCTTTAACCATTATTATTTGACTATACAGTTGTATTAAATTTTGTTTACCAAAAAAAAAAGGGGGGGGGGGTAACATGATCTTAGGAGGAGCCAGGGAAGAACCATAAGCCATGAATTAACAGAAAGCACATATACCCCGTTTTTTCTCTCCAAGGGAGATTTCTAGGGAAAGGTCAATGAGAAGTCATGTGCAAGGAGGAAGAGGTCAATCAACTTCTCAAAGAGTTCGCGCCAGAAAACTGGCTTTTACAGCTGAGTCCTGTAACTGACGGCGTTTGCATTACTTCCCGGCGGGGGGGGGGGGGGGGGGGGATCAAGCCCTTGATTATTAATCAGCCACATTACCCAGGAGCGAGAGTGAAGCGCTCCCCGCAGGGGTGCTGACGGGCAATCTAAGGACCCCTTCCCAGTTGTTGAATTGAGAGAAACTCCATGGAGAGGCTAGAATTTTAGCATGCTTTGCATTGTTGTATTTTCTATCTGTGCATTTGAAATCTGGAGTAACCACGGGTTTGATTCTAGGAGAACCTGCCACCAGGACGGGGATCTGGGATGAGCTGGAAGGGCTCTCAGGGCCGGGCCCAGACCCAGGCTCCCCTCCACCCCGCCTCGCCCCACCCCACCCCCGGCCTTCCCGCGGGGCCCACGCGCCCCCTGCTGGCTCTCCGTGAGGCTCGCGCCGGGGAGACCACGCGCTTCTATCCCCGGGAACCTGCAAAGCGAGGCGCGCGGGTCCGGCTGCGCCCGGCCGGGAGCTGGCGGGTCACTGGGGGCGCGCGCTCAGCGGCTCCACGCGCAGCCAAAGTCCGCCCTCGGCGCGCAGGATGAGCTCCGGCTTCCTGCGCGGCTCCTCCTCGTGGGGCAGGACCCTGAAGCGCAGCAGCGTGAGCGCCAGCACCACCTTCATCTCGCTCATGGCGAACGCCTGCCCGATGCAGTTCCTGAGGGCGGAGGGGGGCTCGCACTCGCCAGGGAGCCCAGAACCCAGCCCGGGCGGGACCCGCATCGCCGCCCGCAGGGATGCACAAGGGGGCTGACGTGCCTGGGACCCCGCTGGGGGCTCGCCCGTCCATCCCGGGAGCTGGGCCCAGACCCCAGCCTTGAACTCAGGCCCGCAGACGCGCGCGCGGCAGAGATGCTGAGCACCCCGCGGACCCCTCGTTGGACCCAGCCGCCCCCACTCCCCACACCCTTACTCCTAACCTCCGGAGGAGGGGAGACCAGGAGAGCCATCCTCAACGTCCCCCCTTTCCCTCCCCCACAGACTTTCCTGGGATCTCAGTCCCAGACCCCTGCCCCCACCACCCCATTCCCACCTCACATACCCTCTTGGCTCACCTGGGCCCAGCAGAGAAGGGAATAAAAGCTAAGGGTGACCTCTCCTTGATGTTTTCTGGGTCAAAGCGCAAGGGATTGTACACCTGGGGGCACAGAGAGGTAGGGCTGCTGGATGGGGTTTCCAGGACAGCCAGCTTTGGAGAGGCAGACTTGTGTATGATGGGGGTAGGTGGTGTCTGATTTTCCAGGTCAGAACCCTGCTCCCTCCCCTAGGTCCCCCTGGGGAATAAGACAAGGACGAGGGTGGGCATGGGGACATGGGGACGGGGAGAGAGGCAATACCTCAGGGTCTGGCCACACGGATGGGTTGTGGTGGGTCCCAAAAATACTAATGAGGCAGGTAACACCTGTGGGAGACGGAGAGCCAGTCAGGAAGGGTTTCCCCTGCCTGATAGGCCCCCTTCCTTCCCAGGAGGCTCCTCCCCCTGAGGTTGTGAGCACCTTTGGGGATGACCCGGCCATCTGGGAGCACAGTGTCCTGGGTGCAGCAGCGGGAGATGACTGTGACAGGTGGGTGCAACCGCAGACTCTCCTTGATGCACATGGTCAGGAAGGGCAACTTGGCCAGGTCGTCCCTAAGGAAGCCCCCCAACAATTATCCAGGCAGCAAAAACACAGACCCTTAATCCCAGTCCTCTACTGCCCCCTGAGATCCTCTCTCCCTGCAACAAAATAAATTCCAGGTGGATCAGGTATCTCCAAACTTACTGAGCCCTGCACATTAAATATGTACAGCTTTTTTTTTAATGTCAATCATACCTCATAAAGTGGTTTTAAAAAAGAAAAGCAAGATCAAAGAAGTAGGTGAGAAAATTTAGTTGGGTGGTTTTGGAAGGTTTTCTTCTTTTCTTTTTTTTTTTTTTCTTCTGTATTTTTTTATAAATTTATTTTTTATTGGTGTTCAATTTGCCAACATATAGAATAACACCCAGTGCTCATCCCATCAAGTGTCCCCCCTCAGTGCCCGTCACCCAGTCACCCCCACCCCCACCCCCTCCCACCTCCCCTTCCCCCACCCCTACTTCGTTTCCCAGAGTTAGGAGTCTTCCATGTTCTGTCTCCCTTTCTGATATTTCCCACTCATTTTTTTCTCCTTTCTGTTTTTGGAAGGTTTTCTGAGCAAAGCATAACACCCAAAAGGAAACCATAAAAAGGTTTACAAGTTTGCATAAAAATTAAATACTGTTTATTTCAAGACAGCAAAATCAAAAGCCAATTGAGTAAGAAACAGCAGAAACAGATCCAATGTTTTGTCTATCATGGTCCTAGAGATACTAGCTAATGCAATTGACAAGAGAAAAAAGGAGAGTAATGCAGTCAGAAATGTGGGGGTAAAGGTGTCATTTTTGCCAGCTATGATTCTATGCTTAGAAAACACAAGAGAATACACCAGAAAACTTTTATAGACATTGAACATGCAATAAGGGAGTTGGATCTTTTCCTTTGATCCTCTTCAAATTATGTGGTGATTATAACTGTTAATAGCTGATATAGTTAAGTGGTTCAAACTGGAAAACTATAAAACCCCACTTCTATGACTCAACACCACCATTTCCCATTCTTACAGTTTGCCTAGGTTCTTATTTGTCATTTATCCTTTCAGAGCTACCTTTTTGCATTTAAAATAATTTTAGTGTATCATCCTATATATTGTGCACACTGCTCTGTATCTCTTTCATGCAACAGGATAGCATTGTCTTATAGATTTCCTGGGATTTGTGTCAAGAATAAGGGCATCCCTATTCTGGAGCTATAAGATAATTTCCCATGGTTTCCTCTAGAGCTTTTAAGACACTTTTATTTTTTTAGTTCAAATATTTTATTCCATTGGACCACCTGGATGGCTTAGTGGTTGAGCATCTGCCTTTGGTTCAGGTTGTGATCCCGGGGTCCTGTTATTGAGTCCCACATAAGGCTCCCCACCGGGAGCCTTGTTCTCCCTCTGCCTGTGTCTCTTCCTCTCTCTGTGTCTCTCATGAATAAATAAATAAAATCTTTAATAAATAAATACATAAATAAATAAATATTTGATTCCATCTTGATGTTATCTTGTTACAAGACATGAGAAGTAGTTTGAGGTAACATTTTTCTGGGTAGCTCCCCAATTATTCCAAGAGCTTAAAAAAATTTTAATATGAAACTCCATACTTCGCTTTTACTATGTTCACTGAACACAAAATTTATATGTATATTTTAAAATTATTTTTCTATGTTGAAATAATCCATTAGAAAAGATAATAGAATATATGATGATGATGATGATGATAGAAGTTTAGCCAAAGAAAGATGTGAGATCTCTATATTCCAAATGAAGTTTTAAATTTCTCTCAATACAAATAGATGAGTCAGCATAGCAACAGAAGTATCTTAGGGTTAATTTAACAAAATATGCTTAAGATCACTAAGAAAAAATTTTAGACTTTATTAAAAGGACTAAAGAGTATTAAAATATCCACAAATGGGGATATTCCTTCCACACTCTAGGATGGTATGTGTTCATATCATGAAATAATCCATTTCCCACAACTCAATCATATATTCAAGTCAACTGATAGAGTATATTTGATTGAAATGAAAATCTACCAGATATTTTTAGGAACTTGATAACCTTACTCGAAAACATTTCTGGAAAGATAAAAGATTATGAGAATTAGAACAATTTAAAAATGAAAGATTAAGGGGTCCCTGGGTGGCACATTCAGTTGAGCATCCAGCTCTTGGTTTCAGCTCAGGTCATGAAATCAGGATTGTGGGAATAAAGCCCAGGGTCAGGCTCCATGCTCAGCACAGAGTATGCTTAAGATTCTCTCTCCCTCTGCCCCTCCCCACCTATCAGATAAATAAATATTTAAAACTAATAAAAACAAAAAGGAAAGATTAGAAAAGAGAAACTCACTCTACCATGAAGATGTTGAGACCTACCACGAAGATGCAATGATCAAACAAACACCCAGTGTGTCCCTGCTGGAAGATCAGGAAAAAAGACCCATGCAACAAAAGAGATGTGAATAAGTGAAGCCTTAACATCTGGTAAGGAAAGCCTACAAAACCCTAGCACAAGGAAAGACAGTATAGCTGTAAAAGAATATTTGAATAAATTTGTCTCCATAAAAATTAATCAAAAGCACCCCTCAAAAGTCAAAAGTCAATTTTCTGCAATACAAGACAGAAAAGGATTACTTTTTTTTTACCTGATTTATTCTAAGTAAATTTGAAAAAACAGAAGAATTAAAAAAGAAACAATAAAAAAGATGAGTACTTCGTACATAAAGAGAAATAAAAATGGCTTACCAACATGTGCAGAAGGACCTGAATAGACATTTTTAAAAGAAGACATACAGATGGACAATAGGGAAATGAAAAGGTGCTCAAAATCACTAATTATCAGAGAAATGCAAATCAAAACCATGATGAGATCTCACCTCACACCTCACAGCTGTTAGAATAGCTATTATCAAAAACACAAGAAATAAATACTGATGAGTATGTGCAGAAAAAGGAACTATGTGCACCTTTGGGGGATCATAAATTGATGCAGATATTGTGGAAAACAGGATGAAGTTTCCTCAAAAATAATTTAAAAATAGATCTACCACACTATTCAACAATCTCACCTCTGGGTAGTTATCCAAAGAAGATGGAAACACGAACTCAAAAAGTGTATATGTAGGGACGCCTGGGTGGCTCAGTGGTTGGGTGTCTGCTCAGGTCGTGATCCCAGGATCCAGGATCAAGTCCCCGGAATGGGGTTCCCCATGGGAAGCCTGCTTTGGCTCTCTGCCTATGTCTCTGCCTTTCTGTCTCTTTCATGAATAAATGAATAAAATCTTTTTTTAAAAGTTTATATGTAGCCTCATGTTCATTGCAGCATTATTTATAATAGCTAAGGTTATGAAACCACTGGTGCCCATCAGTGGTTGGATGGGGTTGGGAATAACCCCTCAAAATGTGCAAAAAGATGTTAAACTTCTTATTTAAAGAAATGTTCATTTAGAAAAGGAAATATGACAAATTGGCAAAGATTTAAAATTCAATACAATAATATCATAGGTAAAAGTATGGGAAAGCTGACAACATCAGATTCAGCTGATGGGAACAAGTTTGCAATTGCTATTAAAATGACAAAAACTCAGATTGTCTTTGACAATCTGAAGTTGGCACTGGAGAGACATTCGCATGTATAAGCATGTGTCGGTGTTCACAGATGTTGACTACTCCCATGTTTATTTTAGCAAAAGGCTAGAAACAATCTAAATATCCACCTATGAGGGAGGTTTAGATAAATTACAGTACAGCCATATTGTAGAATATTACACAGCAATCAAAAAGGAGGGACTAGAGCTCCCTCAAGTTCTATCACACACTGCAGGCTGAAAGGTAAATCAGCACAGAAACTCTGGAAAGCAATTCAGCAATGTCTAGTATAATTGAGAATACTAACAGGAATATCCTCAACAAAGGGGAAAACCAAGTAAACTCTGGACAGTTATGCAGCACACAGAAAGAAGGAGCTGTAAGACACTGTCGAGTGAATAGAACGAGTCACAAATTGTATGTATATAGAAATGCAAGATGTGCTAATGGACAAAAAGATAATAGAGAAAGAGAAAGAAAGAAAGAAAGAAAGAAAGAAAGAAAGAAAGAAAGAAAGAAAGAAAGCCATTAGAAACGACAAATACCCACCATTTGCTTCGATGTGGAAGGACCTGGAGGGTATTATGCTGAGTGAAATAAGTCAGTCGGAAAAGGAAACATCATATGGTCTCATTCATTTGGGGAATATAAAAATTAGTGAAAGGGAATAAAGGGAAAGGAGAGAAAATGAATGAAAATATCAGTGAGGGTGACAAAACATGAGAGACACCTAACTCTGGGAAATGAACAAGGGGTAGTGGAAGGGGAGGTGGGAGGGGGTTTGGGGTGAATGGGTGATGGGCAATGAGGGGGGCACTTGGTGGGATGAGCACTGGGTGTTATGCTATATGTCGGCAAATTTAACTCCAATAAAAAAAATTTTAAATGAAGTATAAAAAAATGCAGTATACTCAGACTGTGCAAAAGATCCAAAAATAATGTGAAAGGTAAAATCTTTGAATAAATTTAACTACTTTTATACAAAAGTATTAATTTTAGCATATATTATATTTTTAATATAAAGCATTTGCCTTGGAGCGTCTGGGTAGCTCAGTCAGTTAAGTGTTTGACTCGATTTCAGCTCAGGTCATGATCTCAGGGTCCTAAGATCAAGCTCTGAGATTAAACCTCACATCAGGTCCACTTTGGGCATGGAGCCTGCTTAGGATTTGCTCTTTCCCTTCCCCGGAGCCCTCTTCCCTTCAAATAAAGAAATAATTTAAAAAGAAAGAAAGAAAGAAAGCTGATAGAGATAGGTGGTGGAAAGAAAGAAAGAAGAAGAAAGAAAGAGAGAGAGAGAGAGAGAAAGAAAAAGAAAGAAAGAAAGAAAGAAAGAAAGAAAGAAAGAAAGAAAGAAAGAAGGAAGGAAGGAAGGAAGGAAGGAAGATAGTTATGGAAAGACACATGACAAATCAATGAGTCTAGAAACCCCTAGGGAGACAGGAGGGGATTCAGTTGGCGGGGAGGACATCAATGATAACTGCAGTCTCCTTTGTGGTACTTCAAGGCAAGAAGAATTTGTTCTCATCGTTGTTTCTGTAATTCCAAACTTTTCGAACATTCATGTTTTGAAGAAAAGAAAAGATCTCAAAAACACGTTGCTAACATGTAGACCTTAATTCCCACTGGAGGGGGTAGTGAGATAGTTTTCATATAAATGTCGATATAGGATAGATATTTTCTGGAATGGTCCACAAGAAATCACTGACAGGAGTTACTCCTAGGGCAAGGATTAAGAAAAAAGTTCATTTCTATTATAAACTCTCTCTCTCTCTCTCTCTCTCTCTCTCTCTCTCTCTCTCTCCCTCTCTCTTAAAGATTTATTGACCTATGTGAGGGAGAGGGAGAGACAGAAAATCTACAGCATACTTCATGCTCAGCATGGAGCCAGATGGTCACAGGGCTCAATCTCACAACCCTGAGACCGTGACCTGAGCGAAAAGCCAGAGTTGAACATTTAACAAACTGAGCCACCCAGGTGCCCTGATTATAAATGTTCTTTTATATACCTTTTTTTTAAAAAAAACCAAGTGTACAGTTTTGTCTGTTTGAAATTTTGGTTGAAACAGCATAAAGGTATTTCTCTACTCTGCCTCACGGGACTGCTGTGCTGAGTGAAGGCCTGAAGTGGAAAATATTACCTACAAGATACCTGTCCAGTCCAATGCCTGCTCAATATCCCCAAGCTCCTGGCCCAGACCTCAGAATCCCCTCCCTGGTCCTGATGCTGCAACTTGTCCTCTCCAGTATGTTCCCCACACTAGCCCTAGAAATATCGGACCTGTCCTCCTCCTGCTCAAACAGTTCCCTCGGTTCCCTATTGCCCTTCGTTACAATTGGACCCAGTGACATTGCTTCTAAAGTCTCCCACAACCAACCCCCGCTGCCATCCCTCAGCCACATCATCTCACCATGAATCAGTGTCTCTTTCTCTTTTCTCTCCCCATCTGTCTACCTGTCTGCGTCTCTTCTCTCTCTCCTTCCCTCCCTCCATTTCTTCCTCCCCCTTTCACACTCTCTCTCTCATCCCACTTCCTCCCTTCCCCCTTTTCTCCCTGTATCTCCTTTTATCCATCCTTTCCCTTCTTTTCTTCCTTTCCCTCCTCCCTTCTTCCCTTCCTTTTCACTTTTGCCTCCACTCTGTCTTCTTGAACTAACTGCACCCCAACTATCCCCAAATATCTAGTGATCATCACTCAGGGTCTCAACAGAGGCACTCTCTCTACCCTTAGCCTTGCCTCTCATACTCTCCACCCTAGCTCAGCCCATGTGGAACAGGAGTATCCTGACGTGAGACAATTCCCACACCAGACTAGAGCTCTTGCACGACAAGGGCCAGGGCTGGGTCCTTCCTGGGTCTCCATGACACAGAATGGGCTAGTAAGAATTGGAGAAAATATAGGACTAGGGAGAGAAAGGCAGAGTGGCAGTGTTCTCTGAATGGGGACTGGATGGATAAAGATGCAGTTCTCCTGGACAGGAATAGAATGATTTTAAGACCACATATCCCCCATGAAACTTGGACTGAACAATATGGAAGGAATTTGAAGGCAAGAGAGAAGCAAACATTTAGGGAGTGAGGATGTTTAGAAAAAAAAATGTGATTTAAGAGAGAAAAGTAAGAGAGGGAATGGAAGTTCACTTACTGAATGTGTACTTAGTGGCATCATCTGCCTTCATACATTGTCGCTAATTCTCTCAGCAGCCCCGATCTTTGTCACTCTCCCCTGTTCTACAGGCTGGGTACAGACCCTGCCTCTGGGCTCTGCTCCTATTCTCACTAAATAATAATGATGGAATTAACCGAAAGATCTTTCCCCTTCCCCAGCTGGGGAGCAAAGCCAATAAGAGGGGTTCGAGGATAGACCATAAGGACCTGCACTCACCATTCAATCTCTTGAGGCTCACGATCCCTCAGGAGCTCTTGCACCTCCTGCCTGCAGCGCTCCTGGTATTCTGGGTGCTTTGCCAGGTTGAACAGGACCCAGGAGAGGCCACTGGCTGTGGTGTCATGGCCTGAGAGGCAGTCAGACAGGCTTGGGTCTCTGGGCTTGTTCAGCACCAGAGGGTGGGTAGCTCCTTTAATTAAGGCCCTCAGGGAGGATGGGAGGATGGGACGGAATGGGGTGGTCCTGCGAAGGACCCAATGATGAATCCTGGTCCAATCCAGGACCCACCTGACAAGTGTCCTGGATTGGCAGTCCCCTGCCCCCCTATAGTCCCACACTGGGATGCTCACCCTCAAACATAAAGGTGTCAGCTTCAGCTCGGATATCCTTGTCTGACAATTGCTTTCCATCTTCATCCTGGAGAGTAAGTAAGACACACACCAAATCATATCAGTTTTGAGAGCTCCTGAGCATAATCTGAGACAGTATCTGAAGCTCTTTCATCCATCCAGAAACCCAAGCCGACCCTTCACCCTTAAACCTCCTTTGCTCACTATCACCAGAGGCCCCACCCCACAGTTCTTCTCCTGCTTGGCCTCTTTCCCTCCTGCTTTGTCCTTGGTGAGAAGAATCAGTTATCCATGAATATTTCCCTGTTTCTACATGATGAGGACTTTCTGGAAAAAAGTTACTGGCAACCTGGATTACATTCTAGGATAGTAAATCCAGAGATTCCTCATCTCCCCTGGCAAAAAAAACCCCAACAGAACCTATAGACTGCCTTCTCCGCAAAGTGGACTTTACATTCTAACTCTCTCTCTGTCATCACTTGCATGGATGCACATACATACATACACACACACACACACACACACAGAAGGTGCAGATGTGTCAGCAGTCTTATATAAGTTCCAAGTTTCATGATGTATAGTTACCTCTTCTGGGATGGAGCATGGCTGCGTGTACAGATAAAAGCATCAGATAGCTCCCAAAAGAATCTTAGAATGAAGAATCACAGCTACAGTTCTACTCTGGCTACTCTTACTTCTGTGAGTAATAAATGGGCTTCTCTGATCCAGGTTCTGGTACATAAATACACACACACACACACACACAACTCGAGCAAAGTCTCGAGTAAAGAGTAAAATCTCAGGTCACGGATTCAGAATTAGAAGAACTCTACAGGCTAGATTCCACATACTAATCTCTAAAACATATCCATAATCCATCCCTCCCTTTCTCAAGCACCTCCCTTGGCTCTCAAGCACACAGTACCCTCTGGACCAAGTGTAAGTTCTTCAGTGTGAAATTTGAAATCAAGGTTCATTCTATCTCTTGAATTCAGATCCCAGAGAAACTCACCTTGGACAGCAAGAGCACATCAATGAAGTCCAAAGTCTTAGTCTTAGCCTTGGTCATGAGGAAGTCATCAGCACCCTGAACCGGGAGAGTGCGGCGCCGTTCCTGAATGACAGCATCTGTGAAGTTGTGCACCAGGCGGCAGGCTCTGCGGAAGCGCTGTCCGTCTGGAGTGAGGTAGTACAGGAAGTCCGTGTGCAAGAAGATCTGCTGATGCCGTTTTGCCACAAGGGCACTGAGTTCTAATATGGCAGCGATATATTCACTAGGCTTCCTGTAGGATGAGGACATGAAAGGAGGCCACAACTTAGCTCACCTGAAGACTGAGAAAATGCCTCCCACCAGATGCTGGGAGCTACCTCCCATGAGAAAAATTGTTATCCAGGAACAGATGGTCCCACAGGTACATGGTAGGGATGACCCAAGAGACATGACTCCCCACACTCTCTTCCCTCCCTGATTCCCATTGCTGTGAGCCGCCTCAATGCCCCTGGCCCATTAAATCCCAGCTGAGATATTTTACTCTTCTCCTCTATCTCCATACACCTCAGACTTTATCTTCTCTCATTAAGTCAATGGACCCACCCCCCTCCCTACTCTAGCATCTCTTTGGAACAAAATCCACTATCTGCACAATGGCTGGTCTTCTCTAGAATCAGAAATCCAAGAACAGCTTTCCCCATGACTCTCAATGCTCAACCACTTTCCATGCCTCCGAGAAAACTTGAAAAAATTCTAATGCCTTTGCCTAGTCTTTGAATATCCTTAAGATACAGCCTCTGCCAATGCCTCCAAACTCATCCCCAAAGAGACTCCTCACTGTAGCACATGCTTTGCTCATCATAGCCCCCTGGACTTTATCACACATTTCTACCTACCCTAAAGGATCACTGTTTATCTTTCCCTTCCTTGTCCCTCAATATCTAGTTCTGATCCATCTCCTTCAGGAAGTCCCTTCTGATTGTGTTGATCATCCCGCCCTTTGCCATCTACTCCCTTGGGTCTATGGCTAATGTTTCAGACCCTTAGCAGAGACTTACTCCTGGCAATTGCTGTCAAAACTGAAGACACATTTCTGCAGACTGTCCAGGGTCATGAGGCTGATGTGTTCAAACATGTCCAGATGGGTGCTGCCCTCTGACACCAGGCGCTTCCACTTGGCCTGGGCAGAGAGAGAAGCAGAACTGGGGCTGGAACCTGCCTCCTCTGAAAGCCCTCCCCAACACCAACCAGCAAGATGGAATCCCCCAAACCTAGCCTCCTGGCCCCAGACACCCATCCCCAGGGAAGACCGAGACTACTTCTACTTGGGTAGAAGTAGAAACTGTTACAGTTAAGGCCCCATGGCTGGGAGTCAGGAGACCTGAGTTCAAATTCTGGCTCTGCATTCTAAACTCAGTGTGCCCTTGCTCAGCTCACTGCCCTCTGGGCTCCACCTATCAAAACTTAGTAACAGTTAAGACGACTTGCTCTGGTGTCAAAGAAACCAAGTTGGAATCCAAGCTCCACTTACTAGCTTACTTGCTAGCTGTGTGAATGTGGGCAAGCTCCCTAACTTCTCTGAACCTCATTGTCACCACCTATAATAGACAAGATCCTCTCTACCTCATAGAGTTGTGAAAATCAAATCAGAGAGTATATGTCATGGAATATGCACATGGTTTCTAGCATACAGTAAGTACTTAATAAAAGTTAGCTTTCACCATCGTCATTGTTACAAGTTAAGAAAAAATATCCTTTGGGGGCACCTGGGTGGCTCAACTGATTAAGCATCTGCCTTTGGCTCAGGTGATGATCCTAGGGTCCTAGACTGGAGTCCCACATCAGGGCTCCCTGCTCAGTGGGGAGCCTGCTCCTCCCTCCCACTTGTGCTCTCTCTGCTCTCACTTGCTCTCTAATAAATAAATAAAATCTTAAAAAAAAAAAGGAAAGAAAAAGTCTCCTTTTTGAGAAAGGTAGTCCAAGGACCCCGAACACCACCGCATATTCTTGCTGGTATGCCAAAAAATGCAAGACCCAGAGCTGTGTTTGCAGCAAACACCCTTGAGGGATAAGGTACTGTTTCCCCCTAGACAAATGTCAGCTTTGCTTCTAATTGACAAAAAAAAAAAATTCATGGAGTCCCTAAACCTCCTCTTAATGCAACATACTATATAAGCATTGAAGCCCACTTGTGTTATTCTCATGAAGTCTGGTGACTTAGAGAAAGAATGCAAACCAAGAAGCAGAAGCATATGTGCTTGCTGTGCCATGAGTAATAAACTGTTCTTTGTGTCTAACACAGAAGTCTCATGTCTTCTGACAGAATCCACAAAACAATAATAATCTCACTCTTCAGCTTGCAAGTATAAAAAAATCCCAGGCACTTTACAAAATCTCCACTTCCATTATTTCACTTCTCTGTATCCATACCCTTTGCAATGTGATTTTTCTGCAACATCCATTAAGGGATGGAGCCCCTTTCACTACCTTTGGATTCTATGCTGACCTTTTTTCTTTGCTTTGGCCAATAGACCATGGTGAAAATAATGAGGTGATCTTCCTAAACCTAGATTCAAGAGGCATTGAAGTGTTCTCTCAGTCTCTTTGAACTCTGCCTCAGCCATGTGAACAAGCCTGTAATGCCTCCTGGAGGCAGAGAATCACACTAAACAAAGTTCCGTTGTCTAAGCGGAGACCAACCTAGATCAGCCTGCAGCCACCAAGCCCCAGACATGTGAGAGCTCAGATTAGCAAAGTAATACCTGACCCACAGCTGATCACAGGTACATGTGACCCTACTCAGGTCCAGAAGACCCAACGAACTGATTCACAGACTTGTTAGCAATAATAAACATTCATTGTTTTAGACCAATGAGTTTGGAAGTGGTTCATTAATTCAGTAACAACTACCATGTGATGTTCATGGATATTCAGCTGTGTCTCAGGTTCCAAAGCTTCTTTGTAAGGGAAACATAGAAACTAACATCTGAGCACCTACTATGTGCCACGAACGTGACTATCTTACATTATCTTGACCACCCATCAAAGTGTGGGCTGTTATTCTCATTTTACAGCTGAGAAAACTGAGGCTTAGAGAGCAAGATCAATGGCCCCAAAGCTAACCCAGAAGAACCAAAATTCCAGAAAAGATGTCACAGAGCCCCCATCACCTCCAAGGCTTCAGCTGGGACCCTGGTTTCAAGAGACTCACATGCATGACATTCGTGCTGTAATTGAAAATCTTCACATAGGGCTTCAGGATGTTGAAGTGGAAGGCAGGTGTCAGCATGCGGCGGTGGCTGCTCCATTTGTCACCAGCACTCAGCAGAAGCCCATCCCCTAGTAGAGGTAGCCACAAGGAGTGGCAAGAGCAGTGCCTTCCACTGAGTCCCCAAGGTTATCCTCAGTCCCCTTTACCCAATTTACTCACCCAGCCAGGGCTTCAGGAAGCTATAGAAGACCATGTCCTTGGGCGCAATGGCAGCTGACATAAATGAGGACAATCAGGGGTCATAAAAAGAGGGAGAGGAAGTGCTTTGGGTTTGGGGGGGTGAGGGCTCCCAGCCAGGGGGAGGGGGTCTGCATACCCCCTCCAAGCCCAGTGCAGCAGGAATGGAAACAAGAGCAGAGGAAACAAAAGGAGCAGGGAGATGAGGGGAGACCAGACCAGGCTACAGCACATAGCAACAAAGACAAGGCCTGCAGACACACCCCCATTTAATTAGATGCACCCTAACATGCAAGAACATACCTCAACATACCTTGACATGGCTTCTACCATGTCCAACATTTTCAAAACACCAAAACACAAATTAGCACCCCACAATATGCCTTTACAAGGAATTGGGACACCACATCTGTTCTGGAACCCCCTGACATCTCCTGAGACTTCTCACATAGCCCCAACCAGTGTTAATATGTCCTGACAAGGAACAACATGCATAGCACACATTGACATTATGTACCATGTTCTGACATGGACCCTAAGACAATCTGACACAACCTCAGAGTGACCCACAGATGATCCCAGTCAGGACTTAATTATGGCCCCACTAATGTCACAGATGTGGACCAGATATGACCCAGATATATCTAAGACCTACCCTGGACAAGATTCACATAGTCTTCGACATTTCTCAGAACTCTGGGTTGCGGAGTGCAGACAAAACCCAAACTTGGTTCAGACATGACCAACAGGAGGAGCAGACATCTCAAATGGCATCAAATATTCTTGGCCACAGCGGAGCACCAAACACAAGTAAGCCCATCTTCATATGGCTCAGGAGTAACCATATACCAGGTATAACCAAGCATAATGTATTCTAGGTGGAACCAGAGGCAGGTAGAAACATAAAAGAGACCCGACACGGTCATACAACAGACATTGCAAAATCACACCCTAGGTGTGAGCAGATATGACCAGAAAGAAGTCTGGCAGGTGAGGATCCAGGTGAGACAGAGACAGTGGCATCTCTGAACATTCCTTCCTGGCTGCTTCTAGGTCACAAGCCAAGCTGGAAGCAGCACAAAGACCTCAGCTGTGAGCAAGCCATGACCATGGGGTGTCTACCTGAAGAAAAGAGCACAGGCTTGATGTAGGTGGGGTGGAAGATGCGGATGACTGCATGCCAAGGGCCCACCCACCAGCAGCACACATCCCCAAAGGTGCTTGCCAGGTCCTGTGTGTACAGGAGACCTTCCTCTGAGCTCTGAATCTGGAAAGGAACAAAGAGGACCCAATTCACACTCTTTCTAGGTGGCCAAATAGAAGGACCTGCTGGGCTAAGACCCAGCTCTGAGCCCCATGAAATCCCTCCAGCAGCCCAGCCTCCTCCTAGGATCCTTCCCCAGTCCATCAATATGACAGTTAGGGTCCCTTGGTTACAAGAACAAAAAGGGTCATTCTGCCTTTTGGATTCCAAACCCTATGTTCACGTGGCTTCTCTCTATCCCCATGTTCCAGGTAAGAGAACTGAGGCTCTGATGGATGAAGTAACTTGCCTACTCTCCCAGATAATTCTCCCAGTGCATTCCTGACATCTAAACCCAGCCCTGCCTGAATCCGGGACCTCCGTTCCTAGCCACTGAATTGTTTTGAGCCCCAAAACCACAACTCTGAGAATCTACTCTTGCCAAGATCAGGTGGTCAGATCACAGTGATTAAATGAAAAATTGACCCTGTAGACCAGACAAATTGAAGGGAATTCTGCAACTTTTCCTGGAACTGTGGCAGTAAGCTGATGATTCCACAGAAGTTAAACTTCTTGGACTCATATCTACAAGAATGAGAGTGGAAGCACCTCAGTGGAAAACAGAACAAAAAAAATTAATACAGGTTTTGATGATGTTCTTTGACCTGGATCCAGCCATGTTGAAGACAACATCCCTGAAGTTCACTGTAAATTGCCTTTGATTAGACTATACAGGGTTGGGTTTCCACCACTCACAACTGAAAGAGACCTTGGCAGCCAGAAAGAGCTAGGGGCCTTCCAAGTCACCCAGAACCTGAGTTTCAAAGCCAAGGTCTCTGTTGGGTGCTGCTCATCAACCTGCTCAGCCTGGTCTGTCTGGAGTTGAAAGAAGCAGAAGATAAGGGACGGAAGCCAGGCTGGGGTAGGGTCTCCCTAAGGGGGAGATTCCTGGGGCCTGGAGCAGGAGGGCAATGAATGAACTTGGAGTAGACAAGCTGTAGGATAAGGTGGAAGGAATCAACCCACCAGAAGTGGATGTCACAGAAAGCTTTGGCCCTGTGGATGGGTCACAATGAGGCCAGACCTGGCAGGGGACCTCAGATGCTATCAATGCCCACTGCATCACTCTGCTCTCTGCTCTAAAAAATTTCTACTTGTCATCCCAGATCTAGGTCCAGCAACTCCTCCAGGAAGTCTTCCAGCCTGCCCCAGCAGAGGCCTTGATTCACCTGTGGCCTGCTGCAACCATCTCCATCTGGCCAATCCTTACTTCACCAGGTGACAGATGTCTTGTCTAGACCCATATCATCATGACTGAGGGTTATTCCAGGACAGAGCCTTGGAATGAGGTCTCTTGGGGACTCATGGTGCGGGCAGGGGAGGAGACAGCAGTGGAGGGAGTAGAGGATGAAAGGGGGGTTGCTGAATACATGAAGAGAAGAGGAATATAGCTAAGAGAGAAGAGGGGAGGAGGGCCCAGGGACCTGCAGGGGGTGCAAGGAAGTTGGAGGTGGAGGTGTTGGAAGCCCTGGGTTGTATTCAAGGCACCCACCACCACAAGCTCTGCAAGAGTACCTGAGGCACTGGTGATATTCCGGATCAAGTCGGGGTGGCACAAAACAACAAGGGGCTTGATGGGGCCCATCCACATCTTAAACCCCTGGGTATAGGTGACCACCAGCTGAATTATGACCCTCAAGCCCTGCTCCGAGGGGGGGGCCTACAAGCAAGACAGGGGATGTCACCTCCACAGAAGGAGACACAGCAGGGCCCCCTGCAGCCTCTACAGTGGACAGAGTGTCCAGATTCTACATGGATGGAGGGAATCTTTGCTTCCTCCCCCTCTTTCTCTCTGAGAACAGATGGGTCTGGAGGCTCTCCATATCCCAAGGGTGAATCCAAGGACACAGGGAGAAGACATGCTCTCTCCCCACAGAGAGGCTGACCTTGGCTTGAGAAGTGGGATTTTTCTGGTCCTGGGAGTGGTTCCAAACTCAGAGAGGTCCCCATACAAGAGTTTTGTGGGCAGCAGAGTGGCCTCAGGACTTGTACTAGGGCTCATTCCCACATCCTGTTAGGTCCTGGCCAGTCCACACAGCCCCCAGTTCCTCACATGGTGACATGTCTTCAGCCCTTCCAGCCCTGGTAAACCCCAGGGGACAGATGTGAACTCTGCTCATCAGACAGGAGGGCAGCTCCCACCTATGAGTCCCTACTGCCTACCAGGCTGTACATAGTGAATCCTGTCTATCTGTATATCATCTATCTATCTATCATCTATCTATCTATCTCTCTATCATCTATCTCTTCATACCTGTGTCCCCTGATCCTAAGGACTCTGATCAGTTGCACCCTTTACAAATGAAGACACCAAAGCCACATCCACCAAATGGAGAAGGAGGGCAGGGTTAGCTCTTGGGGAGACATCCTCTCCAGTCCCCCTCCATCCCTCCAGGATGCCCCATCCTGGCCTGACAAATGCTCTCAGGTGCTCCAGACAGGTGAACAGAAGGCATTTCACCATTGTGACTGCCCCCTGCTCCCCAAGGACACTGAGGAACTTAATGAGATTAGTCCAGAGAGGGAGAGTGACTCAGCTGAGGTCACACAGCAAGAGGAACTAGAGAGAAGAGTGACCCAGACCAGCATCCATGACCAAGCCCTGGGGGGGGGAGGGGGAGCAGTAACTTTATAACATTCCTGCTACCCCCAAGGTTTGTTAGGAACATTCCAAGACCCAGAATCTCAGGCAGCCTTCACAATGAATGCCCCTCTTCCAAATTAGCTATAATCAGCAATAAAAATCACAGGAAGTCCTCCCCCTACCTATAGTCCTCATCCTGGGCAGTTAAGGTGAGCTGTGCCCTCAGCCTGCCTGGAGATGGGAGGAGCTAGCTGCTCATCCCTTTGGCCTTGACCATGGCAGGTGATGGCAAGTTCACCACCTATGTCATCAAACACTTACTTTCAGTGCCTGCTGGATGCTAGCCCCTGGACTGTGCACTCTAGTGTCTGCTCCCCAGGGCAACTATCTAGTTGGATAGGTGGAAGATAAGTAATGAGACAATTAACTCCTGAATGGGGCATGAGCAGACCCATGTCAAGGTCAACCTCTGATTCTCTGGTGAGGACTCAAAGCTTCTGGAAAGAGAAATGAGCAGTTATCTTTATTCAGGTTGGGCAATGGGCCCATTGGGACATCTTAGCAGGGAAGAGGAAGCTGAGAGGAAGTTGGCCTGGGGAGAGGTGTGAGTGGGAAGTTAGACCCCTGTAGGGTGGGGAGGTCAAAACTAATTCCTGTAGGGTAGGGAGCAGACACAAGGGAATGGGCCAGGCAGGGAGCAGACCCTGGACAGGTTCCCTGACAAGGTCTCCAAGGTAACCATGGATTCTGGGAATGCCAGAGGACTGTGCCCTGTGCAGCCCACCATGCGAGTCCTCAGAGGGACAATAATGTGGGTTCAGAGAGGCAGGAAGTAAATCCAAAACAGGCAGAGGGTGGGAGGACAAAGATGTGCAAATGCCCTGGATGGCAGAGCAGAAGAATGAGTGGGTGAAAAAGAAGGACTCCACTAGCCTCCCTGCTTCTCCACTGACCCAGACCCCAGCCAACCCCTGAGCATCATTCCCGAACCTTCAGGAAGTCCATTTCCTAAAAAAAAAAGGAAGCCCATTTCCTGACACCCCAGACCCATCCTCCACCCATACTCACCAGGCCCACGTGACCCCAAAACCAGTTGCGCTTTGGAGGCTGTGGGAAACACTGGAGGCGGCGACGGATATCATAGAAGCTGTAGCTCCAGGCCAGGACCCGGGTCAGAAGCCAAGTGGCCCCCACCAGCAGCAGGAGCACCCATGGGGACGCTGTAAGCTGCCCCAGTCCTAGCCAGGACAGGCTCAGTTGCAACATCCTGGAGCAGAAGGATTAGAGGGCGAGCCCCTCAGGACCTGGTCTGGGACAGAAATGTGAGCTCACTGCTCACTTCAGAGGGAAAGAGCCCAGGATGGGAGGGACAAGGCAAATGGGGAGTGCTGGGAACTGTCCACATGGTGTGGGGGGAGGGAGGGTGATCAAAGTGGGGGAGGTTCAGGAGACTTCCAGAGGAACAGGCAGAGTGAAAGAGAAAGAGAAAGAGAAAGAGAAAGAGAAAGAGAAAGAGAAAGAGAAAGAGAAAGAGAAAGAGACGGGGTGAGAGAGAATTAATCACCCACAAGTAGCCCCTCTCACTCCAGGACAGCTGCTCCCTGGAGCCACCCCACTTTGGGAAGTATCCTTCCCCACCTGGGGCCAGGACACCCAGCCTTGTACCTTCAGTCAGGAGCAGCTTATCCACACAGGCTCCTCTCCTCTCCTCTCCTCTCCTCTCCTCTCCTCTCCTCTCCTCTCCTCTCCTCTCCTCTCCTCTCCTCTCCTCTCCGATAGTCTTTGCTTCTGGCCGCTGACCTAGGGGACACTGCCAGTGGCCAGGCTAAGCCAGCCAATCCCTGCCTGCCTGCTTACCTCCTCCCTACTTGGCAGTGGTCCAAATGGTGGGTTGGGGAGGGAGGCTTCAGTATTATCAAGAGCACTTGAGCTCTAAAACCTCAAACTCAGTACCTCCCACTTGGGGTGCGTGGTGGTTTGGGGGATGGGTAAAGGTGACTCTGCATCCCCACGTTAACAGCCACACTTGCCCTCTCCAGGCCTGTGTGGCTGGTAAAAACTTGAACTTCAGAGTTCAGGTGCCATGGGAACAGGATCATGCCAGCCTTGTCCCAGAAATATATTTGGGGCCTCCCTCTACATGTAAGTCAGGAGGGTGGCTTGCACGATTTTCCAGCACAGAATCAGGAAGCCTCTGGCCTCTGGACTGCACACCTTGGCGGGAGTTCAAGCCCTGCCTCCAAGAAGCCCATGGACCTGGTTGAGATAGGACTGCAGAAACAAAAAACCGGCCAGGCTGGGGATTACCGGCATCAGATGGAGGGGTAAGGGGCCCAGTCTGAGGAGGGCACCTGGGAGGGGTGAGGATGTGGGGGCCGCAGGATCCAGGAGAGGGTGGGGCTCAGATAGAGGAAGCAGAGGTGGGAGACCCTGGGTGGAGTTCTGTTCCTCCTGCCTGGGCTGTGAGCTGTGCCAGCCCCCTGTGGGCTCAGTACTGCCTTCTGGAAGATGGGTGTCAGATGGGGGCCTGAGATTAGGACAGAAGACAGGAACGTAGAAAGGATCAGGAGCCTCTGAAAAACCACAGTGAAGAGAAAGAGCTGGCAACTAGTATTTGTGCTGCTGTGTGCCAGCACTCCACATAAAGTAAACCTTCTCTTTGCAGAAAACTGTATGTAAACTGGGCCTACTGTGTGCAGGGTACCATGAAAAGTGTGCCTACAGTGCATTTTGGGGCTCTACATGAAGTGTGCTGTGTGCCAGGTACACCATACGAAGTGTACTCACTGTGTGCCAGACACTCCCCACAATGTGCACCTTCTGTGTCCCAAGTGCTCTGCACAACTCCTGTGTATGCCAGGTGTTCTACCTAGAGCGTGCATATTGTACGCTGGGTCCCTTCCCTAAGGCATACCTACTAAGTGCTAGGTGCTCTACCTAAAGCACACTTACTTGTGCCAGGTACACTATGTATAGCACACCTACTGTGTGCTGGGTGTTCTATGTAAAATATACCTACTATGTGTCAGCTGCTTTACAGAAAATAAGCCTACTCTGTGCAAAGTACCTTACATAAAACATGCCTACTGTGTGCCAGATCCTCTACATAAAGTGTACCTGCGATTTGCTGTGTATTCGACATAAATCCTGACTACAGTATGATGGGTGGTCTACATCAGGCATACCTACTGAGTGCCCAACATACTACATAAAGAGCACCTACTATGTGCTAGGGGCTCCACATAAAGCAAGTCCACTGAGTGCCAGAAGCTGTGCATAAAATGCTCCTTCTGTGCGCCAGGTGCTCTACATAAAGTAAACTATTGGATGCCAAATGTTCTGCCAATGAGGTAATGCATCACCCTCCCCTCAGCTCTCTGGGCCACTGGCCTGGGATCAGACAGGGAGACCTGGGTGACGGCATCCACAGGAGGAAAGATACCCTATTTAACAGGAGAGCAAACTGAGGCTCAGAGAGGGCAAGCCTCTAGCCCAAGTTGCAGAGCTCAAAGGAACCCAGGTCTCACATACTCCCAAGCCCAATCCTTTCCCCTCTGCCATGCTTTCCACAACTGTTCATAAAGGACAATGCCCAGTGAATCCAGGGACATTTATATGGTGGAATTTCAAGCAATGTGTGACCCAGAAGGAGATCTCTTTGAGCACTCCGATTGTCAGGTGGGTTATCCTCTCACATCTAGTAGGCACCGCTCAGCAGATCTAGCGCTCCGCTCTGGGCCTTTCAATGGTCTGTCTAGATCTGCCTATGGGGTGGTCTGATGTGAGAGATGACATGAGGGATGGGCTTCTTGCAAAGCTACTGAGCTGGAGATGGGGAAAGAGTCCTCCTGACACTGGTAGGGTGTTGGGGAGACCCCACACTTCCCTCTCCCCCATTCTCACTGGCCAGAGTGTTCAGGTGGCTGGTCCTAAAGCCCTCAGTTGAGTGGGGGGTTGCAATCCCTCCTTCTTTATTTCCTCCCCATCTGTGGAGGCAGACATCACTTGCTGGCAAGTCCACCCACATCAGGGTCAGGGGCAAGGCCAGAAGCCAGGCAGAACTTTAGACACACAAGAAAGAGCCCCTAGTGCCCAGAGAAGCTCAACTCACTGCAGACCTACCATGTGCCAGCAGTGGGCAGGCCAGCTATAGCAGGAGTTGCCTTTGCCAACATGAGCCACGATCTTGTTTTAAGCTCTGATATATTCACCACTTCCCTCACTCACTCATTTTACAGATGACAAAGCTGAGGCTGAAAGCTCTTTGAGTGACGTGCCCAAAGTCCCATAGCTGGTAGAGCCAGGCTCTGCACCACACAGCCCTACTTCATATGGGGTGCCCTCAACCACTGAGCTGTGCTCCCTCCCTTCTGAGGATGAGCATTTCATTAGCACCACCTCCTAAGGTAGCAGGAATAATTTTAAAAGACAATGAATGTAGAATACATAGGACAGAGGAAGGCCTTCATAAATGCCAGTCACTGCTATTGCTACTGCTGTTGCTGTGTAATTATCCAGCAGCCTGCAAGACCACATTCATGAGCTCATTTTTACCGAAAAGGAACCAGAGATTCAGACAGGAAAAGCAACTAGCTACAGCCCCACCGCTGATTAGGTAAATATGACAGCACAAGTGACAGCAAAGCCTAGCACCTAGTTGATGCTCACTGAAATCTGGGCATGAAAGAAAGATTTGCAGCCATCAGCTCTAAGCATGGTCCTCAGACCTCCACTACAGGCATCACCTGAGAGCTTGCAGGAAGTTCAGGATCTTATACCTCTACCCAGAAATATTGACTCTAAACTGCATCTAAGTAGTTCCTCAGGAAAAATGTGTACATGCCTTCAAGTGTTCAGAAATTTTTTTTTTAAGATCTTGGATTCCAGGTTCTGCATGGATGGTGGAGGGGATATCCTTAATTTCTTTGATTCCCAAGGTGGGTTTTTTTTTCAGTTATAAAATAAGGAGAAAAACCTAAATCTCCAGGGACTGTCCATTCAACCAAAAGTTTTGGAACCTCTCTACTGTGTTGGGCATATTTTAGGCAACGGGAATCAGTGCTGAGCACAGCAGACCCAGTCTCTGACATCAAGGGGCTCACATCTTGTGATTAGATGGACAGTGATCAAATAAATGATCAAGAATATATCAGTGATAAGTGATGTGCTGGGGGTAAGGGTCCTACCTTAGGCCAGGCATCAGGGTGAGACCTGAAATAAGAGCATGAGTCACCACGGACAAGCATGGAGTAGGATACCCATGCTGCACAAAAAGGCAAGTGGGTTCTTGTTCTTTTGACGTTGAGGCCAAGAGAACCAACAGGCAGGATGACATCATTGACCGAGGCCAATGTAGACTGCAAAATCTGGCCCCATATTGAAGCCCTAAGTAGGTGTTGAACTTGCACAAGCCATACCAAGGCCTAAAACCCCAGCGGGTCTCTCCAGCCATCACGAAGGCAGAGTCTATCCACCGGGGCTCCGCCTGATTCCTGAGGCAGGAAGCCTCAGGTGGGCACTCTCTAGTCTGAGCCAGAGGAGGCTGGAGCATCCCCAGTGTTTCTCATCCAATAATGAATGTCTCAGCTGCCAAATCCCACAAGCCTGGCTTGTGGAATGTCCCCCACTCAGTGGTGGAGGGAAGGCAGCCACACACTGAGAGGCAGAGGCTGATCCTTCTATCTTACCCAGAGCTGGGAACTGGACAAGTGTGTGTCAGACCAGAGGTGGTAGCCACTTTGTGAGTCACCAACTTTAGGCAAAGCCTGCCACCCCTTTGAGCCTCAGTCTTCATATCTGTAAAGTGGGCTTGATAAAACATCACAGAGTACTGCAAGCGTTCTATCAGATGCAGAGAGAGGAGGGGGAGTATCTTTCAAAGTGACATGTGAAGGAAATCTTTCCATTTGTGACAACATGGATGGACAGATATACCTTGAAGTCATTATGCTAAGTGAAATAAGCCAGAGGGAAAGACAAATAACATATGATCTCACTTACATGGAATCTTAAAGAAAAATAAATGAACTCATAGAAACAGAGGACGCATTGATGATTGCCAGAGGTAGGGTGTTAGGGAGTGGGTGAAATGGGTGAAGGGCGTCAAAAGGTACAAACTCCAGTTACGAAATAAGTCAGTCCTAGGAATGCAATGTATAGCTCCATGACCATAGTTAATAACAATGCATTGTGTGTTTGAAAATTGCTAAGAGGGAATCCCTGGGTGGCTCAGCAGTTAAGTGCCTGCCTTCAGCCCAGGGCATGATCCTGGAGACCCTGGATCAAATCCCACATCAGGCTCCCTGCATGGAGCCTGCTTCTCCCTCTGCCTGTGTCTCTGCCTCTCTCTCTCTCTCTCTCTCTCTCTTGCCTCTCTCTCTCTCTCTCTCTCTCTCTCTCTCTCTCTCTCTCTCTCTCCCCCCGTGTGTCTCTCATGAATAAATAAATAAAATCTTTAAAAAAAAAAAAGAAAATTGCTAAGAGAGTAGATCTTAAAAGTCTTCATCACTAGTGGTGCCTGGGTGGCCCAGTCAGTTAAGTGACTGACTCTTGATTTTGGCTCAGGTCAGGGTAGTAAGATCTCAGGGTAGTAAGATCCAGCCCTGTGTCCGACTCTATGCTCCGCATAGGGTCTACTTGTCCCTCTCCCTCTGCTCCTCCTGGCACTCTCATCCTCTCTCTCTCTCTCAAATAAATAAACAAATGAAAATCTCTAAAATAAATAAATCTTTTTTTTTAAATTCCCACCTCTTGGAGAAAAATCCTGTAACTATATGTGATGATGGATATTAATAAATTTATTGTGCTGATCATTTTGTAATATACAAATATTAAATCATGTGTACATCTGAAACTAATATAATGTTACATGTCTGTTATATCTCAATTAAAAAATTGACATTTGAGTGCTGGTCACATCTACATGTAAAACTTATTAATGTGCATATGGGTCTGTGGGTGCACATGTTGGCATATGCATTGAAGAAAATTCCAGAAGAATCCGCACATCAATGGAACTAGAGGAAGTAGAATTGAAGTCTTCATTCTTTTACCTTACTACTTGTCTCTAATGCTTTCTCTAACGCTTTCTCCCACACTGAGTCGCTATAATTTTTA